GTGTGTGTGTGTGTGTGTGTGTGTGTGTGTGTGTGTGTGTGTGTGTGTGTGTGTGTGTGTGTGTGTGTGTGTGTGTGTGTGTGTGTGTGTGTGTGTGTGTGTGTGTGTGTGTGTGTGTGTGTGTGTGTGTGTGTGTGTGTGTGTGTGTGTGTGTGTGTGTGTGTGTGTGTGTGTGTGTGTGTGTGTGTGTGTGTGTGTGTGTGTGTGTGTGTGTGTGTGTGTGTGTGTGTGTGTGTGTGTGTGTGTGTGTGTGTGTGTGTGTGTGTGTGTGTGTGTGTGTGTGTGTGTGTGTGTGTGTGTGTGTGTGTGTGTGTGTGTGTGTGTGTGTGTGTGTGTGTGTGTGTGTGTGTGTGTGTGTGTGTGTGTGTGTGTGTGAATGTATATCCCTCCCTGGGCTGCACCTTACTGTGGTGGAGGGGTTTGAGTGTCCCAGTGATCCTAGAGGCTAATTTGTTTGAGGCTTAATGCCTCTGGTAGGGTCACCCATCACCCAAAGACTCTTTATGAAGGTCATAAATGGGAACCGTGTTCCCTCGCCCTGACATGGGTCACCGGGGCCCCCCTCTGGAGCCAGGCCTGGAGGTGGAGTACGTTGGCGAGCACCTGGTAGCCGGGCTTTCACCCATGGAGCCTAGCCGGGAACAGCCTGATGAGGAAACATGGGTCCTCCTTCCCATGGGCTCACCAGGGGCCAAAGGGGTCGGGTGCAGTGTGTGACGTGGTAGTCAAGGGCGGGGACCTTGGCGGTCTAACCCTTGGCTACAGAAGCTGGCTCTTGGCATGTGGAATGTCCCATCTCTTTTGGGGAAGGAGCCTGAGTTGGTGTGTGAGACTGAGACTTTCTGACTAGATATAGCCGGACTCACCTCAACGCATGGCTCTAGCTCCGGAACCAGTTTCCTTGAGAGGGACTGGACACTCTAACACTCTGGAGCATGGGTGGGCATACATCATACAGCTCAATGTTCAACTCTGTTGTTTCGTCTGATCTGCAGCCACATGTCTTGGAAACTCGGGTGAAGAAATGGCCAGAGCTGTCAACTAACCGCTACCTGGTGATGAGTTGGCTCCGATGGTGGGGGAGGAAGCCAGTCAGACTCGGCAGGCCCAAACATATTGTTAGGATCTGCTGGGAACGTCTGGCAGAGTCTTCTGTCAGAAGGAGTTTTAATTCCCACCTCCGACAGAACTTCCAAAATGTTCCTGAGGAGCCTGTGGAGGCCTGTGGGACTCCAAAGGCAGCAGATGGGTACCGACAGTCCAAGCGGATGCGGCTCAGGTGGTCGCAGAGGCAAAAACTCAGGTGTGGGAGGACTTTGGTGAGGCCATGGAGCAAGATTTCTGTATGGCTTTGAGAAGATTCTGGTCCACCATCCGGCGCCTCAGGAGGGGAAAGCAGTGCACTACCAACACTGTTTATGGTGGGGACGGTGTGCTGCTGACGTCTACTCGGGACATTGCGGATCGGTGGGCAGAATACTTCGAAGACCTCCTCAATCCCACCAGCACGTCTTCCAGTGAGGAAGCAGAGTCTGGGGAGTTTGAGTTGGGCTCTCCAGTCTCTGGTGCTGAGGTCACTGAGGTGGTCAAAAAGCTCCTCTGTGGCAAGGCTCTGGGGTGGATGAGATCCACCCAGAGTTCCTTAAGGCTCTGGATGTCGTGGGGCTGTGTTGGCTGACGTGGCACTGCAATATCGCGTGGACATGGGAGGCAGTTCCACTGGATTGGCAGACCGGGGTGGTGGTCCCTCTATTTGAAAAAAGGGACCACAGGGTGTGATCCAACTACAGCGGGATCACACTCCTGAGCCTTCCTGATAAGGTCTATTCAGGAGTTCTGGAGAGGAGGGTCCGTCAGATTGTCGAACCTCAGATTCAGGAGGAGCAATGTGGTTTTTGTTCTGGCTGTGGAACACTGGACCAGCTCAATACCCTCAGGGAGGTCCTGGAGAGTACGTGGGAGTTTGCCCAACCAATCTGCATGTGTTTTGTGGATTTAGAGAATTGTTTTTGGATTTGCAAAGAAAAATCAACATCAGAAGGAGATAACTTGAAGAAATGCGAAAGGCTATTTTTAAATGATGATTTTAATTATTAAGGGAACAAAGTTATCCAAACCAACCTGGTCCTATTCCAAAAAAATAATAAATAAAGTTATTTCACTTAAATAGGACCCATCTGACAACACAAAGCAGGATAAAGGACCCCAAAAATAAACTTTTTGGTGCATTCTTGGGATATTTTAAAATAACCCAGAACATCTAAAGCACGGAAGGCTTCACTCAGTTGAAGTTTAGTTCAGAAGTCATGATTCAACAGTAACAAAGAGATGGAGCAAAGATGTCTTCAGTGGGAGAGTTTCAAGGCCAACATGTCTGCTGACCAAAAATAACCTAAAGACCTGCCAAAAAACATTTTGATGCTTCAGGAGCTGGACCATCTTCTGTAACTGATGGAACCATGAATCCTGATGGAGAATGTTTGACCTTTGACCTAAAGCAGGTGACATGCTAAAACACCCTCCAATGTGTTGGACTTAAAACTTTTCCACAAAACAAGAGTGGGAGGAAATTGCTCCGCAGGAATGTGGGAAACTCATTGTCAGAAATACTTGATCAAAGTTGCTGCCAAGGGTTTGTGAACCTCTTCATATAAACCCAGATTACCAAAAAAAAAAAAAAAAAAGTAACAGGGAAACCATAAAGGAGCAAATACTTTTTCAGTATTGAGTTTTTTTTTACACTACAGCCAAATATGTATTCCGTCACCTGTTTTGTCATTTTTTCCATTTAAATATTAAAAATAGTTGGAAAGAAAACTGAATTTAGCTGAGATGTAATGATGGAGCAGAGTTTCAAATGTATTTTTCATAAAACAACCGAACATAAAAGGAACCGAAACAGTTCCTGTTAGATCACATTAAACTCTGGTTATATCAGAACGACTGTTTACATTTGTGAGGTCAGATTAGACAGGATGCGTCTTTTTAAAAAGACTATTCTGTTGTGTGTGTGTAGGTTTCTAATTATTTAGAGTGCTCATGTGTTCAATTATGTTTTAAAATCCACAAAAACTGAATCAGGCAGTTTTGAACTAATTAGTTTGAATGAAATATTGACCTTTTCTTGCTACACTCACTTTTTGTCTTCATCTTCGAGCAGAACTGCAATCAAAGCTTCTACTTCAGTTCTCTCTTTGTTTGCAGACATGAAAAGTGAATTCAGTTCAGAAGCATGCAGCTGCTGCACTGTGAGTTTATCAGTTATTAGTGACTGAGAGATCCATGTGTGAGATCACCAACAAAGACATATAATATACTTTGCAGAATCTCATCAGGCAGGTGGTTCAACAATGAAAAACAGTGAATTAAAATGTGAGAATCTGAATGTGAAACCTTTGTTTACTGTCAGTAATCAGCTCTGTACTGTCGGCTCGGCAGACACGTCTGCACACATCACATCAGAGCTTAGTGAAGGTGATCAGAAGTTTTTAATCCTAGAAACAGCAGAGCAGGTGTTGGGAGTGTGGTTCTGACAATGATCAAGGGCTTCATATGTCTTAAATGCAAAAGTACAGAAGCAGGAACCCTACAGAGGCAAGAACGTCAGGGAAGTTTCACACTGCAGAGATGGAAGTTGTCATGCAGCTGAGAGAGTCAGTCAAATCATCAGATACGAAAACATCGTTTATGTTCCAACAACCAGGAATTAGCTTCCCATCTGCAGCAAAAGCCTCATCGAGTGAAACTGATAGTTAAGAAAAGTCAACAAGTGCCCTACCTTCAATCTGTGCATGTACCTTAAAATAATAAATGTACAGTAGCTCTTAAGACAAGTAGACCTCTACACCTATGACACACCCTTCAAATAGCAACAGAGGAAAGCATCTAAAGGACATATTTATGTCTTCTTGTGTCTGGGGCAACAGAATGCATGTATTTTTCTGGCTTCAGGTAGAAAATCACACAGATTCCTAACAGGACTCCAGATGACAGTCAAACCTTCCTGCTTTAGGGCGATTGTATTCCCTCCAGATGCATTATCCTCAATGTCACTGTCAGTCCTCATTAAGATTACTAACTATTCCCGGGAGTCGTAACTCTTTCCAATCTGAACAGACTAATGGGATGCACTAAGTCGCCACACGGTTTAATCTTACGAGTAAAAAATTTAGAAACATGATAAACAAGTCAAACTACAAAACTATCAAGCAATCTGGCCCAACAAACAGCTCACTGTGGCAACCGGGTTGGCTCAAATTAGGATCTTATCAATTACAATGTGAAAAGGAAAAAATATCACTTTTTAAAAAGACAGATTTTCCATTTGGGAGGTGGTAAGTTATTAAAGGGTTTTTAGAAAGGCAGTTCGGTCGGCCGGTGTCAAGACACTGTCACATAATTAGATGGGATCTGACAGTACAGCTGCGGTTGAAAATAGCAGCTGATCTATGGCTGCAGAGGCGAGCTAAATCTACGCCTGAATGTTTGATGAGAGCATTCGCAGCCCTGCAGGAAGCTCCTCTGCCCGAGTTCAGCTGTGTGAATCCTGACGGGACCTGCAGGTCAAACAGGTCTGAAAACTGCTCTGGCCCTCGGTGCTAAGCCAAAACAGCTCAGCGTTTGTTTCCCCTCACGCATTTTCCGATAACAGGCACCAGAAAGTTAAAACAAGCCGAGCCAAGAGAGTAGTTTCTGATGCTTTACGGTGACTGACAGCTCACTCCATTCAGCTTTGTTCTAATGAGGTGATGCCCCACCGGCTTGGTTCTGTGGACCGTGATGGATTATTTGCACATAGTGTGTGAACGCCACGTCTGAGTGCTTATGAACTGGAAGTTGCACAACAATTACAGCACATACGTGTGCACACTGGGAGCTCAGCATGTTTAAGACTGACTCATTTCAACGTGTGTCGCCGTGCTGCCTGCCTGATCCAGGTCAGTGTGTGTGTGTGTGTGTGTGCGTGCGTGCGTGCGTGTGTGAGAAGCAGGCAAACTCACTCTGGGTGAAACGAGGAGGGTTGTCATTAACATCAGTGAGCTTGACAGTGACAGTGGTGGTCCCAGACAGTCCTCCCAGGTGTCCACCCATGTCCTTGGCCTGAAGCACCACTAAGTACTGGTCCTGGGTCTCCCTGTCCATGTCAGGCACAGCTGTGCGTAGAATACCTGGAAAAACACACAAGTTGGCATCAATGCTAGTGAGAGACTTTGACAAAAACAAACACAAAAGGACCATGACAAATCGGTAAATTACTAAACAGCCACGGTTTGTAATACTGATGATTTTATGATTAACAAACAGTTTGGAACTTTCTGATTATTGAACAATAAATGTAAACATTCATTCATATCAACAGCTAATTTATTACATGTAACTTCAAATGATAATGTAAATAATAAAACATCTAAATACTTTGTGACAAATTAAAAGATAAATGAATATAATTATATCTAAATATTTGGAAATTTCTGAATCATAAAAATTAAACCTTAATGTAAACCTAAATTGTATCCAGCAGGTTTTAGTTTTAACTCTGCTTCAGCACACCTGATTTTAATCAGCAGGTTATTAGCAGGCTTCTGCAGAGCTTGATGAGCTGCTGCACAGGTGATTCAACCACTGAATCAGGTGTGTTGGAGCAGAGAAACCACTAAAACATGCTGGATACCGGCCCACCAGGACCAGGATTGGGCATCCCTTATCTAAAAATAAAATATAAAAACATGAAAAACAGCCAGATATACATTTAGTGCGAATGAGTGAGCTTGTTTAACTGTGAATTATTAAGAACTCATTCTTGTTTTGGTCCTGCCTGCATAGGTGGACTTATAGGTTTGATGAGATGTTAGATGGAATTTTAAACCTGAATTTTATTCTGGTGACTATTTCCAATTTTATGACCATCTGCATTAGCATATTATCTAAATATTTATTTTGAAACCAACAGATTTTAATAGGGAGCCTAAGCCTCCTCCCTTTCTGGTCAGCTCATGGGTCTCAGAAGAACGACAAAATGAATGCAAGTAAACGGTGCTAAAAGAGCTATTTTCTAGCCCGCTTAGCCTTACGCCCTGGATCACACGTATGTTGTGCTTTAATTTAAATGAAATGTAATGATGTGTGTTTCAACCACACCTGTCACGTACTTTGAGATTTATCAGATTGTAAAAGTTTGTAATTAGCGTGACTACAAACCACACGTCCGTATGTCGAGTATATGACGTCACAACAGAATCTCCTCTCCCCTAACGTAGCTGCTACTTACCAAATGGCCAGATTTATGGTGGTTCTTTCCTCCTGAAGGAAGGATTTGAAGTTCGTTAAACTAAAACCTAATTTATACTTCTCTGTCGGTTCCATGAGGGAGAGACACACACGCACAGATGGACACGATTTGCCCTCATACTTCTCCGTCTCCAGGGGAGTGTTGCAAAGAAACTCACAGCTGGGACAACAGAGGTTGTAGCGCTGTTCTGTGGTATCCTGTCATGTTTCTGGTCCAAGATAGTGTGTTTATATTGTGTTTTGTTGTATTTAAGATACTTTTAGACACGGACATATTTGTCACTCCCCCAACTCTCCATGTGCTTGCCACCACTAAACCCACGTTTCCTGTCATTCCCGTCCACAAATAAAACGCTTGTTGCATGTATTTTTACTCCTCCAATCACGGGGAATAAAATATTCATGAGTCAGAAACAGAAGGCAGTATAGCATTTATGGATATGAAAATCACCAGGCAGACCGACGGGACCCTAAACATAAACACATACAGGAAACCAACACACACAGACCAATATCTATTATGGACATCAGAACAACCATACACAAAATGTCATTAATCAGAACATTATATCACTGAACAAACATAATAACAGAAGAAAGAGACCGTAAACAAGAGGACAAACACATACAACATGCTTTAAAGACCTGCAGATACCCGACATGGATAATAAACAAAGGAAAGCGGCAAACAAAAACAGAAAGAAAAGAACAACCTCAGCAAAGAACCAGAAACCCAGAAAGACAAGAACCAAAACCAGTGATAACCCTACCATACATCAAAGGCATAACAGGAAAAATAAGAGCAACAATGAAAAAACACAACATAAACACACCGACAAAACCATACACAACAGTTAGAAACAGACTAGTACACCCAAAAGACAAGATATCAGCTGGACTTAAATGTGGAGTCGTTTACGAAATCCCATGCAAACTCTGCAATAAAACATAGATAGGAGAAACCGGACGCCAACTCAACACACGAACAATAGAACATAGAAAGGAGTGCGAGAAAGAGGCAAGTCAAAAACACACAAGAGCAGAAAAAGAAGAAGCAGAAAGTACAATAAAGAAGTCAGCCGTAACAGATCACTGCATAAGAGAAAACCATATAATGGACTGGGATAACACAAGGATCATAAACACCGAACAACAAAAATACAAAAGATGGATTAAAGAAGCAATCGAGATAAGGAGACGTGGATGTGGGACCATGAACGGGGCGATGGAGTTTACACATTGGACAGCGCATGGGACTGCATCATCGGAGTGGGGAGAGCGGGCAGCAGAGGGCGACAACGTCCTCTGCTGCCCGCGGATAAACGGAGAAGGAAGTGACGCCACCATCAGCGTCAGCCTAAGGAAGTCTGCAGCCGCAAACGAAACATAGCGAAAAAACAGGTAACGAAACTGTTTCTGTGTTTTAAAAATAGAACGACAGCATGGAATTAAAATGTTCATTTGTTTAGAGTTTTTCTGCAAGGTAATCTTCATGCTTCTCCGTGTCTGCCGCTAGATATCCTTGGCTCTTTGCGTTTTTGAGAGCGCAATGATGGCGCTGTAGACGACAGCAGCATCGCAACCAATCACAAGCTTGAGTTCTCAACGAATGGATGTTTAGAAAAGAGAGCTCGACTCCGTCCGTACTTGAGAGGGCTCTCCAGCAGGCTCGCAAGGACGGATAATGGTGCTGCGTGTGCCCATCCCGACGCAGACGGAGAAGTAACAGCCATTTTTCTCACCTTTTCTTTGTGTCTGGTTCGATGACGTCACTTTGGTGACGCGCATTTGTAGTCCTGGACTTTTTTTCACACAAAACCTAAAATAACATTTCCCCCGTTCGAAAATAAGCTCTTTCTTAGTATCAAAATGTGTCTTAAAAATTCACGGACATCATATGTGAAATCCATGGCACATAACAAACAGAATTAGAAAATAGCGGTTTTAGCCCCGTTGACTTGCATTCATCTTTTCTTTCTTCTGAGGACCCGTGGTACGGAAGTGGATGGGCGGTACTTAGGCTCCCTATATTCAACAGAACTTTATAGTGAAAATTAATTGTAAACATCTAGACTTAACTTTTGTCCGATTTGATTTAAATTATAAAAATATACATTAATGTTTTGTATTTTATAAAACTTAATTTAGACATAATACTGTACTTTTGATTTTTTTTAATGAAAAGTCCCAGAACTCGTTGTTATGATGAGCTAAATGTGACCAATGATGTAAAATGTTAAATGAGGTTTTTGTAATATTTTGTATAGCTCGCCTCTGTCAGTGCGCCCCAGGGCAGCTGTGGCTACAGTGTAGCGCATCATCACTAATGTGTGAATGTATGTGTGAATGGAGGAATGATACACTGTAGTATAAAGCGCTCCGGAGTCCTCAGACTCAGAAAAGTGCTACACAAGCACGGGTCATTTTTCATTATTTATCATTAACAATCAGCGCCACATGTCTGGTTGCATTTTTCTTTTTGTTTTGCGTTCTGTTTCCATCCACACTTCTAACTCGCCCAACTAACTCACACTTCTAACTGCAGGATATCTTGGAGTGTTTTTACACCTTTTGCCTTGCGAGTTTATCACTTTGTCAGGCATAAAAGCTAAGGCTAATTACCACGCTAATGGTTAAAAATCACTCATTTAGCTTTTGTGGATCAGCAACATGCCATTAAAAATTCTTTTAACAGATGTTTTGATTAGACTTGATGGATTCATGTAATGTAGCGCATTTGCTTTAATGACTGGGGCTGGTGAACCCGAATGAACTGCCTCTCCAGCATGAAACAGCAAATACAGTCATTGAAACACTCCTCTTGTGTGGAGAGACAATGTGAATGGACAGTCTGGCCTTTTATTAACAATTTATTAGCATTTATGACCACATCGCTGACGGTCCATTACAAACGGAAGCAGTCACGACCCTTTTGGTTGAGACTCAACCATAGCTGCGTTTACATAAGTCATTAATATAAGATGAGTGATTTTCTGATTCCAAAGCCATGAAGCCGTCCACTATTAATGCTACTATTGATTTTTAATGAGATTGGGTCCACATAGTATTTCATTAACTGCTCAGTCCATTTAGGTCATTTAGGACCTGTCAAACATAATCTAACTTCACAACGTATCTCCTTTTGATCTGTTTATTATTTACGGGAGGTAAAAATAACAGCTGATTACTCTAAAACCTCCTCCTAAACAACACTGATCTTTGTCACAAATGTGTCCACCAGTCCAACGTTTGTGAGTACATCTGACTCATTGAAGATGTTCCAACACTAAATAATGCAGCTCTGCTCACAGAAAGGACAGGACTTTCATTATATTTGTGCACTTCATTCATGTAACTACAACAAGCCACTAAGAACCAAGCCGCTGTTGTTAGCAGTTATCTGATCATTATCAAAGGTAATAGAGTCATGAAGCAGTCGTGCAAAAGCTACAATGAGATTAGCTGCATTAATCGAAGTGCTTTCAGATGAAGTCCCACTTAAGGCTCCACGGTATTTTTTTTAATGTCCTTTGGAAAACTGAAGTCTCATAGTGATGTCATCAGGCTGGAGACGTGGCAGCTCTCCCTGACATCCTGACAGCTTTTCTGACATTCTGGACACCCTTGGTTTTCCTCTGACAGCAACAATATACAGATATCAGATGTTGTGTTGGAGAAGCAACAAAAATATGCACACGGCATCACATTAAACAAATCCTTAAAGACGTTCAGATGGAAAAGATTAGAAATGACCACATGCTAAGTGCGAGACACTCTCTTACACCAAGTTGCGTCGTTCAACATGGATCATCTCCATCGTGCAAATGGCCTCATTCTGCTGCATGTGGTCGGATGTTGCACGTTATATGTATGACTCAGCGTGTCAAGGTGAATTAGATTCTAAATCAGCCACGGTGAATGCCGACGCATGCGTGTCCGGCTTTGTGAACAGAATTCCTAAACAATCCGGCTGGACTTTTGAGTAAATGTGTAAAATTTTAAATAAGACCTTTGGTGGCAGAGCCAATGACAGACAGGGTGATTGAAAAAGGGAGATAGAGGGTTGAGCATGTTCAGAATACCAACACTCATCTAATAGCACTGTAGAAAGGCTGATGCACAGCGTGTGGAATTAGGATTAAAATCCGAATTAGCATTTCAAACAGCCCCACATCTCTCATACGTCAAGGAAATCGATTACTAAATAAGACTTCAAATAAGCGAAAGGAGGATGGACTACCTGTGAAGGTCAAATAAATCCTCCTATTAAAGGGAGACTTTAGGTATTGTTGTGCAGGAGTTATAATCACCACACCTGATAAAAGTCTTAAAACGTGGGTTAAAGTGCATGGTTTCGTTTTGAGCTGATGATTGATCCTAATCAGGTTATAAACCTTCAATAATCAGAAGGAAAATGCAGGAGCATGACACAAAAAGAAGATGAATACTTTTGGGAACTAGAGTGGAAACTTTGTTTTAAAAACTATAAACTTGGTTTCCATAAAACCTTCTGTCATGCTGTCCTGATCTCCTGATGGTTAAAGACCAAGTTCACTTGTTTTCCAACACATTTGCAGTGGTCTAGTACAAATGAATGCATTGTGAGTCGACCTCTGTGGGTCAAAAGGTCTGACGCTCCTGTTTCAGGAACTAGGAATAAGCCAGAGCAGTGCGGAGCAGAAGGATTTGGAGACGTATTTCCTGATATTTGGGCATCTTGCCTCTGACTGGATAACAGCAACATGACTCTACCGCTGACTCTGCTCTGAGACATGGATGTTTTATCTCCACAAATAACAGCAGCTTGGAGAAGTTCTGCCCTGTTGTAGAGTTGCCAATGCTAATGTTAGCTTCTACGGGCTGAAGGTGTTTTTCATTGCCAAGAAACCTTGCCTTGATGTCTTGGTCCCGCCCCGGTTGCCCAGGAGATACGTCATCAAGAACCGCTAACCCCCAAATTCCACTACCTCCGCTCCACTCCGGTCCGCCCCCGCCTTCCGCAGCCGCTCGCTTCCGAACTCAATTTTTACTGGTACCCGCTCTACAACGGCTCCGCTCCGGTGCGGAGACCTGAGGGGGGCAAACAAGCATGCGCGGGATTTTCGAGATCTTGCGATACAGTCCGAGCAATAAACGCGGAAGTTAGATCCAAACACCCGTTGTGTGGGAGAAGCATCGGCATGAGCTGTTTAATCTGCCCATCATTTGTGTTGAGAGATCAGCAGTGTTTGGATCAACAAACTGTGACTACTTTGATAGTGGAAACTGTATTTATGGCTTATATTTGTGCATTTAAACTTCAGCCGCCATTGATAGTTGTTAAAAGTTGTTAAACCTGTGCATATGAAACAAAAAACGCCTTTTGTTTAGCGATTTATTGTGAAAAACGGAAGTTGTGCTTGCTCCTTTTCCTGTTGGGCGGTTGTGATTTCTGTCCATTTACTGCGGAGGTGTTCCGGCGTCCGGAGAAAATAGGATCGATTCTATTTTTGCCGGACGCCGGAACAGAGGTCGGCGCACTGCGCCGCACTGCCGGAGCACGGCCGCAGTAGTGGAATTGCTCTGATTGACTACAACGGGACCGATTTTGCTCCGGCATTCGTGTCGGAGCGGAGCGGAGGTAGTGGAATTTGGGGGTTAGGCGTGTTCCTATGTTCATGTTCTACCGAGGTGTCTGCTCTCCGTTTGTTAGCCGTTTAGCTAGCTGAGCAAGGATACATGGCAGATGTCTTTTGACCTAGCCTTGGTCAAAAATTTCCCAGAATATGCTGCAGTACTTTCAAAAAGATGGCGGATCAGAAGCCGGCAGCCACTCAGGGGCAAACTTCAAGTTTAAATGTGAGTCAACTAACTGGAGACAGAAGAAGTCACAGTTACGTGATACAAGTCTTTTCCATTTAATCGTTTTCCTTGACCAAGGAAGGTCAGCATCCTCGTAAGCGAGGCCAGGTGCCTTGATATTGAAAAACGCCCAGAGGTTTCCCTGCTCTCTCCTGAATGCCAAACCAAAAACAGACTTCCTCGTCTCGAGCCAAGATGGGCGAGTCCTTAAATGCAAATTTTCAGTGTGACATAGGTCTGTCAGGCTTTCCTAATCTATTGGTGGCTAATGCAGAAAAGAGGGGTAGAAGAATATTTTCACGTTCAGCCTGCATGTCAAACTCAGAGTGATTGATCATATTCTAAAAATAACAAGTAAAAAATGGCTTCAAAGTGAACTTTAAAGCCCTAAATGCTTTCCAGCAGACTGCTGCTGTTGAGACTGGACACAGTATTACTGTTATTTTAAGTTTTTGAAAAGATTCTGGGGGTTGTGTGACAAATAAGTAAAGTGGTAGACCCAACACAGGATATGATGAGCTGAATGTGATTCAAGCAGCCCTGACTGGAGTCCAAGGTCCATGAGACGGTGTCTGAGATGGTAGCAACCCTAACCCTGACCTGATTATTTGGATTTAGCACCAAATACAATACTCAAAAGATGTAGGAAATTTCGATTTTTAACACGACAGCTGTGAACCTGGCTAGTCCGGATGGCTTCCAGTGTTAGTGCCATGACTTGCTGACACATAGTGAAGAGGAGGGAGCTTCTTCATGACCCGTTGATGAAGGATTATTTCCAGAAAAATGATGTCGCTCTTTTAGACCAACCTGCATGCCCACGTGATCTAAATCCCATTTGGATCATTTGATACTGAGGGCATTTTACAGAAAACGATTGCCACTTTCCGACTGCGGATTCTCTTTTGAAGCCGTCATCCCCACATGGAGCAAGTCTCCCACCTATAGCGTTCCTAAACTACAGAGTTCCTTGTTTGACACATGACTCCAGGATGCAGCAGAAATGGGAACTTTCTCTTCTCCTGCTACTATGTTTGCTTTTAAACAACAATATGACACAAAACATCTGGCAGTGTAAAGTTTTATAACATCTAAGATATTAAGAGGCTGTTTTGGGATGATAACTCAGCCCGTTAGGATGGGAAGTCCAAAGTGAGGCCATTCAGAAAACCTTTAGTGACAGGTGGACAGGTGTTTATGCATATCATTCACACAGAAAGACACTGAAAACGAGCAAAAGTATTTATTTAAGGCTCACACTTGAATATTCTACTATGTTCTATGTGAGCTGTCTATCAAAGCTGCAGCTAAAGCATCAAACAGCCATGTCCGCGTCAACTGAGCCATAGCTTCCCTCAAAGACACAGAGCTATAAAAAGAAAACAAACAAAAAATAACAGACAAACAAAACACCTTCCACACAACAATAAAGCCCCGTGCCCTTCGGCGACACGCGTGCCCTTAGGTGGCACAACAAACAGACTCTTTGAGACCTTTGCAATCTGTCGTCGCATTACAGTTCACACTCCTTTCCAACATCTGTCTTTAACATGCCGAGTCTTTTTTTATCACGCAGAAATAGGCTGTTGCTGTTGCTGTGAGCAGCATGAATACATTTCTGCCAACTCACTCCAAAGGGAGGAGGAGGAGTGAGTGTGTTGGATGTGTGTGTGGTGGTGGTGGTGGTGTGTGTGTGTGTGTGCGTGGGGGGGGGGGGGGGTCTGTATGTTTGAACAGGTGGAGGGGTGCACAGCAGAAAAATGAGAGAGATGGATGACTACAAGCGAACGAGGGACGCACAGGTGGGAGAAAATGCAAGATTGAAAGTGTGTGTCTGTCGCATACTGCAAGCCTGCTGTGTGTGTGTGTGTGTGTGTGTGTGTGTGTGTGTGTGTGTGTGTGTGTGTGTGTGTTTAATAAACCTAGCTCCACATTTCCACCCTGTGCTTGAACAGGCCGTCGACACCAGCCTATGTGTCCCTTTGGCCCCATCTCTCTACACAGTTAATTTTTTTTAAGAATTCTCTCTCTCTCTCTCTCTCTCTCTCTCTCTCTCTCTCTCTCTCTCTCTCTCTCTCTCTCTCTCTCTCTCTCTCTCTCTTCTCTCTCTCTCACTCTCCTCTCTCTCTCTCTCTCTCTCTCTCTCTCTCTCCTCTCTCTCTCCTTCTCTCTCTCTCTCTCTCTCTCTCTCCTCTCTCTCTCTCTCTCTCTCTCTCTCTCTCTCTCTCTCTCTCCTCTCTCTCTCTCTCTCTCTCTCTCTCTCTCTCTCTCTCTCTCTCTCTCTCTCTCTGTGAATTCATATATTTGCTCCTCAACAACTTGAGCCTATTTGCTTTTCTTTAGTGTGTGTGTACGTGTTTGCGTTCCGACATCTGCGTCCCATCTTTTTTTCCTTTATTTCTTTGCCCGTGTGTGTGTGTGTGTGTGTGTGTGTGTGTGTGTGCGTGCGTGCGTGCGTGCCGTGCGTGCGTGCGTGCGTGCGTGCTGTGCGTGCGTGTGTGTGTGTGTGTGTGTGTGTTGTGATGAGAACGTGTGCACTCACCTGTCCTTGGGATCGACAGAGATGTACTGCTGGCCCTGCACCAGTGTGTACACAAGCTTGGCGCTGTTCCCATATGTCGGGTCATCAGCATCTGTCGCCGTCACCTGGATTATAGACGTGCCTGTAGGGAGGACAGACGAGGAGGGGTCGGAGGAGATGAGGAAAAGAAATCTGGTAAAAAAAAAGGAAAAAAGCTGAGATAAATAAGCAAGAGGGGGAAAAAACGGCAGGACTTAGCTGGGCCAGACTACGACAGCCCTTTAAGATCACGCCGAGCCTATGAGAAGATAACCTTCTCTGTTCTCAGTTTCTTTTTCAATCTCTTTCCAGCAGCCGTGTGACAAATACTTCATTTGCCCCACACACACATACATCCTCACCCTTCTCCCCCACCTACTCCCCTCCCAACCCCTTGATTCTCTCTGTTTCACTCCATTTCTCTCATCTCCGTCTCCTATTCCCTCCCGCTCCCTCTCTCATCAGGACCGTCTGTCTCTTCCACTGGCCTCCGTCTCATTCCCTTAAATCTCCTTTCCACGGATCACAGAGCGTTGGTTTTATGTGTCGTAAAGTTTTATTTTATTTCGTTAAATTGTTGGCAAAAATAAGAACACGTGAATGACAGTTTGTTCATCTCATTTGTTGTGCGTTTGAACAGGTCGGTATTTTTTTCATAAGAGGAGGCAGAAAAACTCCAGTCAGAGGAGGAGGAAGGTGGCAGCTGGTGGATTATTTCTGATCAAAGTACAGAGTCGCTGAGGAGGAAATGGGGAGTTCTCTGCATGGAGATGGAACAGAAGATCAGCTGATTAAGGTGCTGATCCACCAGAGGTCCGACGGGTTAAACAGGGACAAATATGTCAGCTATTAGCAGCATTGTGTAAAAAAGCAACAAAGGGATTTTATACTAAACATGCTGAGATGCAAAAGAGATGCTGATTTTAAATGTTATTGGTATTTTTACTAGGATTTTAATATTTTTCAAAAACGAAATCATCTGTTTAGAATCTCATTGGTTCACCTGCATTTATTCATCTTTGTGATACATTTTGTACATTTTTAACGCAGAAATCCAAGTTCAGGTGATGGAGAGATTTAATATGTTAAAGTCAAAGTAAACACAAATTAGTTTTATCTAAACGATTATAATCCACTTTTGAATCCAGCTTAATCCAGGTGAAAACTATAGCTCCTGAACTTTTTTTTACATTAAAAACGGTTAAAGTTTAGAGTTCAGACGGATTTTAATAGAAAAAAAAACTAGAATTTTATGTTGCATTGTTGGTTCTTTTTTAAAACACAGAAAATATTTCTTTTTAACTTTGCTGCTGACAGTTCATTTCTGTGTTTTAAAAAAGAA